GCTTCGTTCCTTTAACCAGCATCATTCAAAAACTGCTACATCGATATATGCGAATGTCCAATATCGTACAATATTGTATATCTTTGTGCCACTAGTGATATTATTTGTTAACTTTGGAACTTTCGTAACTAGGATTGCTTAATTTTAGCCTATATCTTATGAAGGAGCATACCTGATATCGAATTGTTGTACTCGAATATCGGCAAATCTAGTGATCTTCGGAAATGCTAGTGGTCGAAATTTATATTGCCGTAAGGACTGGTCAAATTACAATCACGCGAGAAGTAGCCTACGATTGTATTACATTACTTAACCTTCCGTCGGGAGCCTCTAATCTGTGAGATTGAAGCACCCATATTTTTTGTGCCTAAGTGCGGGTTTTATCGAGAAAAAGGTGGGACGTCTAGTAGCTTCCTGTCTCCCTACCACTCATACTAGGATGTCGTGGTTTTTCTTCTGTAGTGCTCTTTTGATGTACGTGAGGGGTATATTAATCTGGTAGATGAGTTGCGCCCGATTACGTCTGTATTTTTGATTTCCCAACTTTTTCTCGATATTTCTTTTTATATACTTGCAAAAGTTCGTATAGCTGTGTATTCCAGCCCCTAATTCAATGATATTGATCGTTATTTCAAATATATTGCTTCAAAAATAGCGAATTATTTCGTGCTCTCATCGACAGCAGTTGTCATTGCTAAGGAACCTTACGGGAAAGCGAACATCAACTCCCTCCTGAATTCCTGGACATTTTGTAAGTTGAAATTGCAAGGAAACATAAAAAGTTATTTAAAAACGCAAATATACATTTCTTTGACCGAACAGTTCAGTTTGCTAAGCTTTTCCTTGACATAAGCAAAAATTTAACTTTTAATTTCGCAGATAAGTTCCCCGAACGTGTTAGGAGTTGTACTGCGCCCGACGAAAGGTTAAATATTAGGTCAAGTGTTTATATTTTCTCTTCAAGAACTGTGAAATTTCCCATAGAATTTAACCTACATGTCATTCATCATATTTGTCTATTCATCAACTGAGCTGTCACGAGTACTTAGCCAATAGCTGTCAGCATAGAGCAAGCAGCTAACAAGCACTTCAGCCAACAATATGTTTAAGTTACTTTTAGGTTTACTGACGCTAAATCGGCTTGCACATTTCTGTATATTTCGTGATTTTTACACTCTATGATTCGACTTAACTTGCTTAATAGGTGGGTCGAAAAAAATATATATTTTTTCTCGGAAAGCTTTAGTGCGGAAAAGTTGCCTATTGTGATAAGAAGAAAAACGGCATAAAAAATTAAAAATTGGTTAACATCTTCCGTTCGCGCATTGTACTTAAAGTTAACGAAAAACTGCAAAAATCGCGACTTTTTTGTAAATTTTTTAAGTTAGTTAAAACGTGTAAAATATACACGCCTTAGTTTTTTATGCTTGTTTTTTGGTTTAAATAACCTAAATAAATTAAATTCTGATGAATAATCTAATTTTTTCCGATCACCCAACGTCTCAGAAAGAACAGAAATGTACCAATTTTTCGCAATTTTCACTGTGCAACTCTTCGCTCGTTTTGCTAGAACAAAACAACTCAGAACTCACCATGTGGAGGTGGTTGCACGTGGAGTTCTACCCACACAGACACCCTACCCAACCAACTATCCAGTTGTTGTTGTGGTATTTACATTATATTTACAAAGATTTTCCATAGAGTAGGATTCTTTGGTTTACTGTGTTTTCTACTTTTTCTTTTTTATATCTACTACATATATAAAGTCTGATTTTTTGGAGAAATTATGTATAATCGATCTAGACTTCAGTGTTGCCAACTCTAGCTTCATGTCCATATACTTTATTCGAGGCCTCTGTCACAAGTTCGACGCTCCTCTCCACAGCCTGGGTGTGAAAGGGAAACTTTTGTATTTCTCTGATGGGCGTAGTGTTAGAATTCATGAGTGATTTAATATCATCTTCACTTAGGCCGCGCAGCATTGGCGGATGATACACCACACAAGAATTCCAATTAATAATTTCAATGTAATCGGAAGCTTGAATGTTTATCTTCGGTGGTACGAATTTTCTAACAGTCTTCTTCTTTGGGACGATTTGTCTTGCTTTTAGGATTCTTCTGTAACCGAGCTCCCGAATATATTCTCTTTCATCGACAAGCATTGCCAATAGAATGAATCGACAACTTGAAGTAATTCGTCGGATAAATACCGTGATGTTTGGATTAATTGAAATACATGTCTTGGTCCGTCAGTAAAATATTTGCTCTTTTTTATGGCAAACCACAGAGGCATGTATGATTTTAAAATGAAGCCAACTATTTCTTTTAAGTTTCCGATGTATCTGATGAACTTATATACAACCTAAAGACTCAGTTGGCCGCAGTTAGCCATCTGGAATGGAAAAAAGGACCAGTGTCCCGATTTGTCAAGTCTTCTGGACAATGTCCCAAGGTGATTGCATTTCAAATGCACAACAAATACTGTTAGTCCTTACTCAACAAATTCCTGTTTATATCAGGAATCGAATAATTTATGGGTTCATAATCGACCACAGGGAGTTTTTCATAGCAAGTGAGCTGCTGCCCGATTGGCCCACTAAAAGATTTAGGCCCTGCAGTTTGACCGTCAATATGTTGGAAAATGTGGCGAAAAGGAAGCTCATTAAAATACAGGAGGCATATGCTCCACTGTAACTTGCGTCTTACATGATTTTCTATTCGGTGGATGGCACCGTTCTTCCATCCAGTGTTGGTTACAGTGCCATCACACCTTAATACTTCTAGTTTTCTCATTCATCATTATCTAAAGTTGTTAGAATAAACATTAAACAAACATAACACAAAACAATGCACAGCACAGACTCACAGCACACACGTCACACACAGCACCAAAGTGTGTACCACTTGAAACAGACAAAGCAAGACTGAAGTGAAGGCCGTGGTGGATGGTGGCGACTGGCGAGTAGAAGCCCGAGTTTGTGGGGGGAGAGGTGCGGCAGAGTAGGTAGGGAGGGACCACGTCACGGTTCAATCTAGTTCAAACCAGTTCAATCTAATTCAAGTGAGTTCTGGTTCGTTTTGTTCTAGCAAAACGAGCGAAGAGGTGCACAGTGAAAATTGCGAAATATTGATACATTTCTGTTTTTTCTAGGACGGAAAAAATTAGATTATTGATCAGAATTTAATTTATTTAGGTTATTTAAACCATAAAACAAGCATAACTAAATATGTTTATTTTAAAAGTTTTAGCTAACTTAAAAAAATACAAATAAAGCGCGATTTTTGCAATTTTTCATTAATTTTATGACCGATTTTAATTTCTTATGCCATTTTTCTTCTTATTACAATAGGCAACTTTTCCGCACTTATGCGTTCTGAAAGAAAAATATTTATTTTTTTCGACCCACCCTATTGTTTAATATTTTTAAGACGGAATTTTGTAGTCAATGTTTTATCCGTTTTCTCATGTACTAGAGTTCTGAAATTCTGCGTTTTTGCAATAAAATATTTTGATAATTTCTGAAAATAATAATAATTAATATTTTAATTTTAATTTTTTTTATTCCATAACAAAGAAGCCATATTGTAGTGAATCTGAGAATAACAAAAACTACATAAAAGTTTCCATAATCTATATTATAATTATCCATCTAAATCTGTGACGCAGGCGGAGTTGAACATAAACTGCCCCTTTGCGTCATTATCAAACGCACAAATCCAAAATATGATTTCTGTTGGTGTCGAAAAACTCAGACAGGTTTTGTTGTGTATAAGTTGTTTTACTTCTTTTTTATTTATGCTGAAACATTATACCCTCGCTTCGAGGACCATTTGGAATTCAGTGACATTTGACTCATGAGTTCTGTTATTCATTCTATTAATTCAGAATATTTTCGTTTTTGTGAAAAGGATTATTTCATTTTCGTACGTAATTTTGAAATTGAATATTTAAATATTTTAAATGAAATAATTTTTCCCTTAACCATTCTTATACTGAAAGGCTATCTTTACTTAAAGATTGAATTTGTTGTGCATGCTCAAATGCTAATACTTTCTTTTAGCATTTTTTTAAATTTTGTATTTGGTAATGAATTTTTTCTGCTAGTGGACTTTACATTATTTGTACTCGGACAAAACGAAAGTAATTGTTAAAAGTAAAGTTATTAACAAAACAAAAGTTAGTGTCAATTGATTCACCAGTTCTCCTTTTCATGCTTTTATTTATTTCTTAAGCCATATCCATAACCATATCCACCCATTCCAATGAGCGTGAGATTTTCTACTACATGTTTTGTGAGTAAATCTGTGAAAAGGAAATCTGAGATATGGTTGGCAAGTTAAAAGACCGTTTTAGATGGGCACAACTTTTCTAGTATTGATATTAATGAATTTTGACGTATATTAAAAACTAAAAACTGAAAAAGTAAGGATAATCGGAGGCGTGGAAAATTCCACAATCATGAGCGAACCTAATCTACGAAACAAAAAAACACTTCCCTAGGTGAGGCTCGAACTCACAGCCTCTGCAATACAAGTACCGCGAGCTAAACAATTGCGCCACTGGGGACACATTGTGCAGTTTTTCTAACATGAAATGATTGAAATTCTGAAAATAATTATATAAAATTTAAAAGTGTTTCACCTGTATTTTAAAATTTGTTTAAGAGAGACGTATGTCTTATGAAGGACTAGCCGCTCTCGCCTTCCTCCGGCGGGTTCGCGGCCAGCACCAACTTTTCTCAGAACTGACACTGCCACCTCGCTGCTTCGAGGCTCTCAGCCACTACTTTTTTTAGTTCTAAATACTACATGAAGATCAGTGGAACAGACCATAAAACCATAGTAGATTTCATATTCTTTGTAGACAACAGATTCCTTTCAAATTGTAAAATCTTTCAATAAACCTCATCTAGTTGTAATGTTTTGCATAACTTTCTCACAAATTTCGGCATGAAAGTCTTCAGAGCCATAAATACAGAATGATATCGCCCTAACTATTGAGATTGTTTCTTAATATGAAGTGACTGGAATTCTCAATATAATTAGATAAGCTTTTGCAACTATTTCCCGTGTTTTTTCTAAATTCGTTCAAGAGAGGCGAATGCCTTTGGAAGGATAATCAGAGCTCTGGATCATGAACCTAAGCTGAGAACCAAAAGCACATCTCCAGGTGAGGCTCGAACTCACAGCCTCGGCATTACTCGCAGTAGCGAGTAGTGGGGTACCCTGACGAAATCTTTCCGCATTTTCAGCACGTGCTCTGATTCTAATCAGTGTAACTCAGTGCAAAATTAAATTTGGAGCAAACTCTGTTAATATCTGTAAGGTTCATTACGCCCAAAATGGCAGTGCCTGTATGCATTACTTTGTAGTTTCCTTACGTTATATAGGGGATGGAGCATACCTTGGCAGAATGGATATACTGTATTCTAGATTACAAGAACTTCTAGATGATTCTAGAATCATGCAGAAAACTATACACCAGCTTTAACAATCCATGCTATCGCAATTCAGACTATAGTAGCAATCATACAGTTTTTTGGTGTTGTGTTGCCGATTTGACATACCTTTGTGGTGCGATCGTACTGCATTCTAGATTTCTAGTTACAGTATTCTATTTTTTTCTAGGTATACTTGACTAAATGTCATAACACCCACCAATAGATTTCATTACATTGTACATTAACTTTCACAGGCATGCCAAATTGCACCATCTCCAATGAAATTACATTACTAGCTGCTAGCCATTTTGTTTCTTGGCTTAGTGTTGGAGACTTCGAGTACCACGGAAGAGACAGTGTACAGTATGATTTCAACAAATCAACCATTACGGAAAAAACATGTAATTAATTTCGATTAACGAGAATTGTGTAATTAAGAGTATTCAATTAAACTAATCACCAATACTTTCACGTTAAACAATTTTCTCAGACTCAATATATTCTATAAAACGAATAATTGCTTTTATAGTTTTGTTTATTAAGTACAACTTTTTAACTTCTGATGATAATTATGCACGAGAACAATATTTCATCTGGAGCTCTAATGATTAAAAAGAGGAGTTTAAGTCAATTTTTTTTACCTCAGAAGTAATGAAAAAAGAATACAATTTAATATTCAACTGCGGTTCAAGAACTGATCCCTTCAATTATTTCACTGAGAACAAAAATGAGGAACCTCGCTTCAGAAGCTTTGTTGGGGAACAAAAGATCCAAGAATACGATCTTCTGATAATTGGAATACCTGTGTGAAAGACTTCAGCCAATTATTGCGAATTCTCTCAAAAAAATACATTTATTTTTTCATGCGTGAAGTGTGACAAGGAGAACGTTAATGAGAGAAATTTTTGTACAACGTTTTGTTCTATTTTTACCCTGAAAGGCAAAATATACGAAGGTAAATTATACAGTTTGAATTGAGAATCAAAATTGTTAATATGCTTTTAATAGAGTAAGCATTTTCTGTACAGGAATTTAAAAGAAGGATATTGATTCTGATTCTATAATCATTATTGAATTTCTTTCGATAATTGGTTAGGTTAAGTAGTTCATTTACTGATTTACAAGAGTCTTAAGAAAATAAGATGTGACTGACAAATCAAAATCTTGATGAAAAAAATTATATGTTGCTTAGTTGTCATTATTTTTTTTTGCTTAATTTCTTTCAAGTGGTTTCCTAAGCTCTTTGGGTACAATCTTATGAAGTGCAGAATGTCATCCCTTCAAATGGAGATAATATTCTCTTATCTCAAATTAGTCCGCGATCGAGGACCGGAATGCGTTTTCGGTGTTAGTCCTCACTCGGCCAAGTCTGGAGATATCAGATTTTAGTCGGGTCTGAAGAGGCCCAGTCATGACTCCCGACGATCGACCTTCCGAGATCAGTTCAAACTTAACAGTCGTGGCAAAAGGATTAATATTTAAGAAATTACCTTCTCAGACATGTAACGATACATAAAATGTTCAAATATAAAAGTTTTATTCGTTAATTTGTATGTATAATCGTTTGAAGTTAGAGGTAAGAAAATCACCAAGAACACCGAGAAACGTATCGAGTTGCTGGTTCGCCCGGTTGAAAAAGACCTCCAGTTCAAAGTGTTAACAAAGCATTTGTCGAGGCGTGGCACAATTTTTTTTATGTCTGTTGCGAGCAATTCCCGTCCAATGTCCAAGCACAGTTGGGTTACAGCTGTTGGATTAAGTATAAACTTTGCAGAATTTAAGATGCTTGAAAACAATCTTACGCACACTTCCATGTGAAATAACCAGTTCATTTGCGATTTTGTCTACTGTTACACGTGTGTTAGCAAGAACGTGTTCGTTCACGCGAGCATCGGTCTCAGCATCTGTCGAAGATGATGGTCTTCCCTCGCAGTAAGCTTCATCAACATTTATACGTTCGTTCTCGAACATGTTGCACCACTTTACAATAGCTCGACGCGAAATTGCATTTCCTTCATACTCTTCGTGCATCTGCCTGTAAATGTAAGTGCAGTTGCGCCTTTTTGCCCACAAAAAAGGACTCACCTCATGCAATTCCAATTTGGACGACATCTGTAGCCGCCGAGACATATTCACGACTGATTAGCAAGCAAGCTAAAAATTCAGTGTCCAAGTAACTAGGTCACTCGATCCAGATAAATGGCAGCAGTATTGCTACAAAGTTTAAACAAAAGAGTCATTTACAAAGACTTCTTATAAGAAAGTACACCTAACTTTTTGACTGATCTGCGTAATTGATTTCATATATTAAGAAGTTACAATCATGGAAATAGCTTTCAATGCAAATTTTTGAATGCTCTCATATCTGGTCAGAAAATACTTAAGAAATTCGAGAATCTCATTTTGAAACGTAACATCTCTGTGTTTCTATTAATGTTGTTTCTATTAATGTTGTTTCTATTAATGTGTTTCTAATTAATTTTATTAATTTCATACATAGGATTATAAAGTACCGATATGATATTTCTAGAGAATTTCTGTTCAAGAAATATATAGAAACTAAGAAAATTAATCTACCTTCACGTAGGTTAATATTTTTTTATTTCTTATTCATTTTAAGTGCCTAACAATATTCCTTTTATTTTCAATTCGCAGCGTTTTTGACCATCTTAATTGACAGTTATGTTTAATTAGAAATTTTAAAACTGAGTTTAGGGTATATTTTTTGAACTTTTGAACAGAAAAATGGACATGGCAGCCAAAATATTCGTTGTGGCCCACAATTTAATTTTCTTTATATTTTCCAGTCTATATATTAACACGTGAAGAAAAAACTTTGTACCCCTTTTTAAGCACATTGCGCCCACGCAGGAGTGTGAGATTTGGCATAGTTAAAGTTCATATGGAGAAGCAGTGCAGAAACATAAAATGTATGTGTAATATGCGTTACAAATACATTAAATAAAATAAAACATTCATTGTTTTCGTTCATACATAATAAAAAGTTAGTGGAGTAAATGCGGAGTGAATTCGGAGTGGATGATTTGTAATTGATTTAATCCCCCTGGAGTGAAATCCACTCCAAGAATGAGTATTTAGATTATTTATTTAAAAAAAACTCTTCGAAGTGAAATACAAAATGCGGATGATTTAAATCTGTCAATGTCAAACACATATTAGTCTGTGGCCAAACAGTCGCACAGAGTAGAGATTGTCTCTAAGGAATTTATATATAGTATGTATTACTAATACATTAAATAAGATAAAATAAAACATTCATTGTTTACGTTCATACTGAATGTCAAACACATAAAAGTCTGTGGTCAACAGTCGGACAACATTTATTTTCTTAACCGCTCGGTTTTTTATTTCAATAAAAAATATATAAAAAATACGAAGCACGTATACTTTATTTCATTTTTCATTTTTTTGTATAAATTTTTTATTTAAATTTTATATAATTTGAAATAGATAGGCAAATTAACTGTGTAGCCTTGGCGAAACCTGGCCAGTATAGCAATAAAAAAAACC